GCCAGCACCACTCCGTGTTCCTGTCGCAGCAGTCGCCCACCCCGTGGTATGACAACCAGAGCGCCATTCACCTCACAAAAGATCCTGTGTTCCGCTTTCGCTTCAAGCACATCGAAACTTCGTCATTTCTTTATTCGAGATCTTGTTAGAAGTGGGGGTGTGTTAGAAATAGATTGCAAATCCCACTTTTGTATTTGTACTTTTATATCCTAGTTTAGGTTAGGATTGTTCTAGTGGGTTGGGGTGTACTAAAAAATCCCAACCTCACCCAATTGTGATCCCCCCAATCTCCAATTACCCAATTGGAGATTCTGGAGATCCCAAAGGGGATTCCCTCCGATTCCTCCCTTCATCCATTCTCTCTCACTGCCATGTACTTATAGAGCCTTGGGCTCCTTACCTAATCAATAATTTCAGCTTTATTTCTTACTCTGGGCGGTGGCTGATTACTCTCTGCCTTACTGCTTCACCCCGGCCTGCTTCTGTACTGGGCGGTGGTCGACCACTCTCTGCCTTACTGCTTCATCCCTGCCTGCTGCTGTACTGGGCGGTGGCCGACCACTCTCTGCCTTACTGCTTCATCCCTGCTTGCTGCTGTACTGGGCGGTGGCTGACCACTCTCTGTCTTACTTCTTTATCCCTGCCTGCTGCTGTAGTGGGCGGTGGCTGACCACTCTCTGCCTTACTGCTTCTTCCCTGCCTGCTGCTGTACTGGGCGGGGGCCGACCACTCTCTGCCTTAATTCTTCATCCCTGCCCGCTGCTGTACTGGGCGGTGGCCTTCGCTGCTGCCTTCAGAGACACTCCCTGCGCCAAAGCCATGCAGGCAGCACTGGAGGTGAGCTGTGCCCTGGGTATTCGATGAAATAATATTGGTAATTTCATTAATGTTGTGGTTTCGTGGTGTACTTGGTTATCACGTCAGTTGAACACACTGAAGGTCTTCGGTTCATGTCCGGGGCGATGCCACTTTTTATGCTTGACCTGTTATATATTGTACTCTTGAGTTACTGCTTCCCGTCCATTTGCAGTGCTGCCACGTAAGGCGATGCTGCACGCAATGATGCGCCGCCAGCTGTATTTTGAGTCGACTCAAAATACACCCGGAGGGTGATGCTGCGCGCCATGATGCGCCGCTAGCTGCTGTTGGTGCATATTCGTTTGCACGTCATCCTGTCGTCTGTTCGCATCATTTCGTTGCATGTGTTTTGTGTGCTACGTCATTTGTATGGTTTGTTGGGTTTGATGCTGCGCGCCATGATGCGCCGCTAGCTGCTGTTGGTGCATATTCGTTTGCACGTCATCCTGTCATCTGTTCGCATCATTTCGTTGCATGTGTTTTGTGTGCTACGTCGCTTGTATGGTTTGTTGGGTTTGCATGTCTTTGCATGTTCATCTTGTTCTTGTGCAGATAAGCTTGGATTGTGCATGACATCGAGCACATTCCAACGAGTGAAGAATTGTTGGAATCGGAACACATGTGAAGAGGTTATGAAGAAATGTTTGATGGATTTGTTAAAACTCATTGGAAGTCCTTGGCAGCTGCTACACCAAAGTTGGAGAGCCCTATAACGAGGAGGGACCAGCATGTGTGGGACTTTTGTCCTCACCTTGCAGCTGCAGCATTTGGGGTTTGGAACGGAGCCAAGGCCAAAGGAAATGGCAGAGCAAGCGGACTGGGATGAACGTTCATCTGCTGGGTATTATCTACTGTCACAAAGCTTGGAGCTGAACCAGAGGCATCACATCATGCATCTGCTACCGGAAATTGATTGTGGGCCCAAGGCATGGGCAGTGCTCAAGGACCTGCACGCTCCGACATCGGTTGCCGCTTCTCTCATGCTGGATCGGGAGCTGTCCATGCTGCGGTTGAGCGAGAATGAACCTGTGCAGCCCGTACTGGACAAGATGAGGGAACTGTACGCGAAATTGGCGATTGCAGGCATCACGTACCCTGAGCAGACTAAGTGTCTCAAGATGCTCAGCCTGCTGCCCGAGTCTTGGCTGCAATTTATAAGCGGACTCAGCTTGCCACAAAACCAAAGTCAATGGACATTGGAGTGGATTCGCACCAAGATTCTGGAAGAAGATTTTCGTCGCTATACACTGCGCGGAGGTGATGACAGCACCAGCGGCTATGCCATGCAAGGGACATGGAGGGATCGAGGGCGTGGCAATCGCGGTCGCTCTCACTACAGCCAAGGTGGTCGCGGGACTTGGAACCAGCGGGGGCGTGGTGGCGCTGGTGCAAGAGGAAGAGGTGGTCACTCCAACAATGACAACAGTGAACCACGCTTGACGGGAGAGTGCTGGTATTGCAAGGAAGAAGGGCATCCATGGTTTCGCTGCTCTACCAAGCCCGACTGGTGGACCCCTTGGAACCAATCGCAAAAGGGGAATGGAGGAAAGCAACCACATGGAGGTGCCAACATGGTAGCTGATCCTGTTGAAGAAACCTCCAAGGATGACAGAGGAATGGAAAATGAGGAGAGGAATGCTGGACAGTTCTACCATGTGTGTGACAAAGATGATACTGGCACAGTTGTTACGAGGGCTGGAGAGGAATTGCACCCGCTTGACATGTGGGTCATGGACTCTGGTGCTGCATGGAGAATGACACCACGCAAGGACTTGCTGGATGCTGTGCAAGCGCCTCCAATCTCTGAAGTGCGCTCAGCATCTAGACATGCAGTGAAGGTTACTGGAGTTGGTCGAGCTGCATTCAGAGCACCTGATGGTGAACTGGTTGTGCTGAAGGACGTGTTACTCGTACCAGGGCTGAAGGCCAATCTGATATCGCTGCGCAAGCTAGGCCAGGCCGGAGTCAACACCACCACCAATGGATCCAAAACATTCAAGGGGCTGCGAGGAGATTGTGTGTTATGGGATTTACACGAAAGCAGAGATGTCTTCAGATCCATGTGGCAGATCCCTGCGCTGATATGGGAATCAAAAAAGAAGGAGTTGGGAGTAGTAAAGGCGGGATGTGGAGTCCAGGGGGAGTGCAATGCAGTTAGTGCTGCAGGAGTGACGGTTTCTGCAAGGTCGGGGGAGACTGATTGGGAAACCGCACACAAGCGTCTAGGGCATGTGGCTATGCCATTGCTGCAGCAACTGCATAAGGATGGAGCAGTAAAGGGGCTGAAGCTTTCTGGGCAGCCAAATACGGCTCAAGAAACAAGGCATTGAGCATCAGCTAACGACGTCCTATACCCCTCAGTCAAATGGCGTTGCTGAGAGAGGACCATCCTGGAAACTGCGCGAGCGCTGCTGATCGAATCAGGGCTGGGAAACTCCATGTGGCCTCATGCGGTGAGGCGGCGTGAGGACGGGTGAAGGAAGAGGTAACCAGGGGCAGAGCGAGCGTGGCCAAGTTAGACACACTCAATGGCCTTGGAGGCGAGCTTTCCTGTCTGCCGAGAGTGGTCAGGTGGGGGGATGAGGACATATGCCTTGCAACCCCAGATACGGAGAATGGCAGCATCTGGCTTGGTGCTAGCCCAGAGCTCAGTGGGAGTGACAGACTGGCGTTGAGGATGTGGGTAAAGATTAGTAAGGAGAGCAGCATGGACAAGGGCATAGCCCCAAAGAGAAGGGGGCGTGGAGGCATGAGTGAGGAGGCAGCGGGCCGTCTTGGTGATCTCACGAATGCGACTCTCAGCAACACCGTTCTGCTGAGGGGAGTGGGGAAGGGTATGAGTCTGCTGGATGCCATGGGTTGAGCAGTAGGAGGAGAGGGTGCGGTTGAGAAACTCACCACCGCCGTCGGAATGGAGGCGGCGGATGGGGCGACCAAAGTGGACCCGGCACTGCTCGGCTCAGGTAACGATGAGAGCAGGGGCCTCGGCCTTCGTGTGGAGGAGGAACACCGAGGAGTACCTGCTGTGGTCGTCGACGAGGACAAGCATGTACCGGTGCCCTTGGCGGGAAGGGGAAGGGTTAGGGCCCCAGAGGTCCATGTGGACAAGGTCAAGGGGGGCAGCAGCAAAGGAAGGATGACTGAGGTGAGGCTGTTGTTTGAGCTTTCCATGAATGCATGTGGCGCATGGGGGAGCGGAAGAGGACGGGAGGGGAGGAAGAGTGGGGGGAAGACCGTCAAGCAAGCGGGAGGAGACGGCTTTACGAAGTGTGGGAAAGTTCATATAACCAAGGCGGTGGTGGATGAGAACAGCGGGGTGGGACAGTGCGCGACAAGAGCATGGGGAGGAGGTGGAGTTGGAGGAAGGTGGCTCTAAAGGGAGGGGAGGGGGGAGAGTGGAGGTGCCTGCACGAGTGGTCACGTGGCATGAGGAGGGGCGGGGTGTGCGGAGGATGTACTGACGAGAGCGAGGGCAAAGTGGTAGGCGATGAAGGAGGCGGCGAGTGGGGCCGTGGAGGAGGTCACAGTAGGTGGCAGAGGCGGGGAAGAGGGTAGTGATGCCAGCCTGTTGGAGTTCACGAATGGAGAGCAGGTTATGACGAAGGGAGGGAATGTGGAGACCAGTGACCACTCCAGAGGGGAAGGGGGGGCAGGGGAGGGTGGAGAGATGAGTGCAAGGGATGGAGAAGCTGGAATCAGCACCATGAACGTTGGTGGGGAAAGGGAGGGAGGTGAGGGTGCCGGCGTCTTTGAGGGCAGTTTCAGTGGCACCACTATCGAGAACAAAGTCAATCGTGAGCGAGGAGGGAGCTGAAGACACGGGGTACTGGAAATCACTGGCATTAAAAACAGAGGGATACATGGAAGTGGAAGCAGGGGAAGAACGCATGAGCTCGCCTAGAAAGCTGGAGTGGGAGGCGGGAGCACTAGGGGAAGGAGAGCCCCAGAGGGGAAAGCCAGGAGGACCTGGTGTGGCTGTGGCAGCCATGGCGGCGGTGCCAAAGCCAAGCTGCTGCTGCTGCCATGCAGATGCTGCGGCTGCGGCTCCTGCAGCTGCGGCTGCAGCCTGACCACCAGAGCCCCACTGCTGCTGCTGCTGCAGCAGCTGCAGCTGCTGGAAGCGGCGAAACTGCTGCAGCTCCTGGGGAGTTATGGGGTCAGCGACAGAGGAGGAGGAGGAGGAGGAGAGCTGAAGATGAGAGGGGAGAAAAGACGGAAGAGTTTTGACATCCTGGAGAGAGGGGCGGGGATCCATGGCAGACCAGCGTGGGGGTGTGCCAGTGTTGCCGCGCTCGAACCAGGCGTCATCATACGCCTTGAAGCAGGTCGCGGGGGGATGGTTGGTTTGGGTGCAGCGCTCACCCGCCCTGGGACCAAAACGGCGAAGATAGGAACATGGGGGGAGAGTGCCAGGGCGGCCACCACGGCTACCAGATGAGCCACCACTGCCTCCACCACCACCACTGCTGCCACCCTCGACCCCGCCACCACCGCCGCCGGCTCCGCTGCCCCCACAACCGCCACCTCCACCCCCTCCCTGAGGGTTGGTGCGGCCGCCACGTGGGCGCCCGCCACGACGCGGCTGTGTGACTGCAAGCTGGGGGTTTTGGGACGCGGTGGAGTTCAGGCCGGAGGGGGGGGTTGAGAGAAGGCGGGCCTCAGCGTCAATGATCCATTGGACCACAGTGTCAAGGGAGGCGCGGGGCTGAGCCTCAGTGAAGGCGATGACGCGCACTTCATATTGAGGGGAGAGGCCTTCGAGGAGACGGTAGATCTGAAGGTTGGGGGGGAGAGTAGTCTGGCGAGCCTCAAGGCGGGAGGCAAGGTCCAGGAGACGGCTGGTGTAGTCAACGGCGCCAGCACTGTGTTCGATCGTGATGCTGAAGTATTCCTTGAAGAGCGGTCCGACAGCATCGAAGTCGGTGCGTTCGAACATTGCCTCAAGCTCGAGCCAGATCTGGCGGGAGCCGATGCGACGTGCCTGGAAGTTGCGCATGAGCGCAGACGGGATGGCAAGGAGAAGGGCACCAGTAGCACGGCTGTCCGCCTCGAGCCAGGCGCGACGACGCTCAGCAAATCGCGCAGAGTCAGCGGCATAAGCGGCGGCGGTAGCGGCATGCTGGGTGCGGAGGGTTGCCGACCGCTCGTGTTCCTCCAACGCGATCAGGTAATCAGTATGGAGCACGAGGAACTCCCGACGCTGAGTAAGGAAGAGCTGCTCAACTTCAGCGGTGGCAGCGCGAGTGCTGGTGCCAACGGGTACCATGGGGGGCGGAGGTTCCTCGCCGGGATGGGGAATGAGAGGGGGGGGATCGCCAGGGTGAGGCGGCGGGTCCCCAAGGTCACCCTCTGGGAGACCAAGCATGATGTCCAGGAGGCGGAACGGCAGGACATAAGCACTGCCGAGGACGCGGTGGAGGCTGCCGACGAAGGAATACCAGTTGGTTGCTGAGTTGTCGGCAGCGCGCACGAGATGATCGAGGGTCGAGACGTCGACGGGAGGGGGAAAGGATGCCATTGGTGACACGGAGTGGGAGGAAGGCGATGGCGGGTGGACCCGCGGTGGCCGGGAGGGAGCGGCGGCGGGTGGACCCGCGGCGGCTCAAAGAGGAGGGGAGGATGGGGATGGCTGTAGATACTGCTGCTGCTGCTGCTGCTGCTGCTGCTGCTGCTGCTGCTGCTCCTTCTGCTGCTGCTGCTGCTGCTGCTGCTGCTGCTCCTTCTGCTGCTGCTGCTGCTGCTGTTGCTGCTGCTGCTGCTGACGCTGCTGCTGCTGCCACTGCTGCTGCTGCCGCTGTTGCTGCTGCTGCTGCTGCTGCTCCTTCAGCTGCTGCTGCTGCTGCTGCTACTGCTGCTGGTGCTGCTGCTGCTGAGTCTGCTGCTCCTTCTGGTGCTGCTGCTGCTTCTGCTGCTGCTGCTATGGCTGCAGCAGTGGTAAGGCGGCGATGAGCAGGTGCAGGTGAGGAGGCAAAAGATGGGGAAAGATGGCAGTTAGCTGATGAAAATAGGACTTGGTAGAAATTTCAGTAGCACTTCGTGATCACATCCAGGAAAGTGTGCAAACTTCGGAAAGCGATATCTGACAATCCAAGCGATGAAACAGTCCGAAATTTTACGACGTTGTAGCTGACACCAAGAGCGTTCTTTTGCAAGTCGAATCACTCAATTCTGTCAACTATCGAGCGAGCTATGGCGTTTGGCGCATTGGGGGTTTTTGAAAATCCACCCAACAGAAAACTAGTTGAGAGGCGGCGGCTAGGAGTCTAGCAGCGGCGATGGAGGGGACGGCAATGAGGTGCACGTCGGAAGGGGACGGGGCGGAAGCGTGGGGAAGGATCGGGATTTAAAAGTTGGCGTGAGCCATTATTGCTCTATACCATGTTATAAACAGAAAGGTTCAGTTTATTGATGAAGCAAAGGCATTACATAGGAAGAGAGAGATGAGCTAGGAAGGGAAGGTTGGAAGGGAAAGGGGGGTTAGGACCAATCACAAGGGAGGGAGGATCCTTCCAAATGTGGTTGACCACCAGTTGGAGGTGGTCCAAGTGTGGTGTACCACCAGTGGTTTAGCCAACCCACTTGTGGTGCCCCCACAATTGTGGTCCTTGTGTTTGGGGGCTCCAACCACAATTGGGTTGGATTGACACCCCAACACAGGTGTACACCCAACTAGGGATGTAAACACAATATTCACAACTAGCATAGCATGGTATATTCTAACAGTGTGTGCACCTTTGGCTTGCGGCAGAGAGCAAGGGGTGGCTACTCTGGGAGCCCTCGAAGAATGTGCTGTTTGACAGTCGGGATGTCAAATTTGTGGAGAACATCATGCATGGCAAGTGGGAGAAGCAGCCGGAGGCAAGGGTCACCCAGCAGCTGGAAGAGATCACTATGCACTTCGATTTGTCAGAACCTGAGGACAGCGAAATCACTACGCCAACAGCAAGCGGTACTGATGAAGGAAGCAATGAGGATATTGCAGCTGATGCTGAAGTCAAGGATCCGGAGCAGCAGCAGCAAGAGGCTTCCAAAACACCAAGTCTGCCAAAGCGAAGGAAACAGATTGGTGGGGGGACAAAGGATTGGGTGAAGGTGAAAGAATGGGTAAATCCAACCATCTACCCTGCACGTACCAAAATGGCAACGAGAAAGCTGCTGAGCTCTACAAGTGGAGGAGCCACAACTGAGAAGCAGGAACAGGCTCAAGGCGAAGATGCAGTGCTGTTCTTGGGTGATGACCAAGAGTCAGATGGTGAGGAGCCTGCATACTGCTTTTACGCACCAATACAACCTCCGAGCATGGATCATGCGCTAGCCGGGCCTCAACGGGGGAAGTGGCTTGTTTCAAGAGATGCAGAGTACAACAGCCAGAAGGAGAATCACACACGGGACCTGGTGTACTTGCCAAATGGGAAGAAGGCAATACAGTGCAAGTGGCTGGCAAAAATCAAGACGGATGAGAAAGGAGAGCCATCGGTTTACAAGAGCAGGCTGGTGGCAAAGGGGTTTCAGCAGAAAGAGAAGGAAGATTACAAAGAAGTGTTTGCCCCAACTGCTAAGTCTCCAACGCTACGTGTGCTGCTGGCGGTAGCAGCTGTGCGCAAATGAAAGGTGAAGTAGATGGACATCGTAACCGCTTTTCTGTACGGCATTGTGGAAGAGGATGTAAGAAATAGAGTTGAAATGATTGATTAGGTAAGGAGCCCAAGGCTCTATAAGTACATGGCAAGGTGAGAGAGAATGAATGAAGGGGGGAATCGGAGGGAATCCCCATTGGGATCTCCGGAATCTCCAATTGGGTAATTGGAGATTGGGGGGATCACAATTGGGTGAGGTTGGGATTTGTGAGTACACCCCAACCCACCAGAACATTCATAACCTAAACTAGGATATAAAAGTACCAATACAAAAGTGGTATTTGCAGTCTATTTCTAACACACCCCCATAGACTGCAAACCCGATCAAGGAGCACATAGTGGTCACTCTGAACAAGATCTCGGATGAAGAAATGACGTGCCAGAGTGGAATACAGGATCCTTGGTGAGGTGAATGGCACTCTGGTTGTCACACCACAGGGTGGGCGACTGCTGGGGGTAGCCTAACTCAGCGAGGAGAAAGGAGAGCCAGCGTGCCTCTTGAGCAGCCATTGTGCCCGCGTAGAGCTCAGCCTCGCAGGACGACAGGGAGACTGCAGAGGACCAAGTGGAGCGCCAGCTGATGACTCCGCTACCAAGGGTGAAGCAGTACCCTTGGGAGGAGCGTCTGTCAGTCTGGTCATCGGCCCATGAGGAGTCTGTGTATCCCTCGAGCTTGACTGGAGAGGTACCACCAAGAGTGAGGATGTGAGACTTGGTGGCTTGTAGATAGCGGAGGACCCTCTTGGCTGCAGACCAATGCGAGGCAGTGTAGCATCCGGGAGAGACGTACCGAGAGAGGACACTAACCGGGTAAGCCAAGTCTGGTCGAGTGCACATCATGGCATACATGAGTGAACCGAGTAGCTCAGGGTACGGGTCCTTGCAGGCGTCAGGAGAAGGAACTGGAGGGGCCGTGAGCTGATGCTGTAGTGGGAGTGGAGTGGAGACAGAGTTACTGGAGTCCATGTCGAACCGCTTGAGAAGGTTGTCGATGTAGGACTCCTGGGAGAGCGTGATCGTGCAAGCCTGGTGGTCACGAGTGATCTCCATCCCCAGGTAGTTGTTGATGTTGGTTAGAGAAGGCTATAAGCAGATGATTCAATGGCTCCTTGGAAATTTCAATCGGATATGTTGTAGCTTGCAGCGTCAGCTTTCCACTGAAAGTTGAATCACTCGGTTCCGTAGCTGAACGAGCGAGCTATGGCGTTTGGCGCACTGGGGGGTAATCTGCCCTAGGAGAAGTTGACAATCCTCAGAGTCACTATGATTGAAGCTTACAAGTTCAGAGGCATGATAGAAAAGGCATTGAAGCACAGTTGGAAGGTAGGGATGGAAGCGAAGGATGAAAGGGAAGGACCCTGGAGGCCCATGGTCAAGAACATGACGAGAGTCAAAGTCTTGACTCCCCATCCTCTGGTTCAGCCAGCCTGGCAAGACAAAATTCACACTGTACCAGGTTGGCCTCCAAACCCCAAATGCTGCAGCTGCAGGGTGGGGACAAAAGTCCCACACATGCTGGTCCCTCCTCGTTATAGGGCTCTCCAACTTTGGTGTAGCAGATGACAAGGACTTCCAATGAGTTGTAACAAATCCATCAAACATTTCTCCGTAACGTCTTCATATGTGCTCCGATTCCAACAATTCTTGGCTCGTTGGAATGTGCTCGATGTCATGCACAATCCAAGCACATCTGCACAAGCACAAGATGAACATGCAAAGACATGCAAACCCAACAAACCATACAAACAATGTAGCACACAAAACACATGCAACGAAATGATGCGAACAGACGACAGGATGACGTGCAAACGAATATGCACCAACACACTCCCCCTCAGACTGTCGGCTTGTTTCGCCGTCTCTAGTTCAAGGACATTCCCGCTATCCTGGCACAGCGCCAGTGTGGCTCTTCAGCTAGCCGCTTGGTAAGGAAGTCGGCTGGCTGTTGCTGAGTTTTTACGTAAATCGGATCCAGTGTCCCAAACTTCACCTCCTTCCGCAGCCAATGCCACTTGATCCTCATGTGCTTGTTCAACCCATGAAGAACTGCATTGCGTGCCATGGCAATGGCTCCCTTGCTGTCACTGAACAGAGGTGTCGCACAAGTCTGTTCATGGCCGATCTCCTTCAAGAGCCTCCTTAGCCAAATGATTTCTTTTGCCGCATGAAACATTGCCATATACTCAGATTCCACTGAAGATAGTGCCGTTTCAGACTGCTTCTTGGACCTCCAACTTACAGGCCCACCTCCCACCATGCAGATGTATCCACCAACTGATGATGAATCCTCATGCTCAGAAGCCCACGTGGCATCAGCAAAACAGGAAAGGAACACCTTTCCTTCTCCGAGCTGCTCCCCCTTCTCTTGAAGGACTTCAACTCCTTTTTGCCTGAGTTGAGCAGAGGCTGAATACTGTACTCCCACTGTAGGGTATGACTTGAGGTAGCGCACCACTCTCTCCGCTGCACCACACTGCTCTTCTGTTGGATTTTGCACTACTCGAGCCAGCTGTCCCACAGCAAAGCTGATGTCAGGCCGAGTATGCACAGCAGCGTAGAGTAGGCTCCCGACCATGGATTGGAATTGCCTCTGGTCTTCACTTTCAACTCCTCCTTCAGTTGCCTTTATGAGTTTGAACTCGGAAGGCAAAGGTGTAACCACTTCCCGTTCAGCCTGCAGAGAGTACTTCTCAGCCAAGGTGCTGATGTACTGTCCCTGATGCAGTTTGAGCCAGCCACGTTCAGTATCCCGCTCAATGTGCATTCCCAGGTAGTACCTTGCCTCTCCAAGTGACTTGCACTTGAACTGCTCTGTGAGCTTCCGCTGCACCCCATCGATCTCCTTGTCACTGCTGCTGAAGAGCAGGATGTCATCCACGTACACCAGCAGAAGCACAAGCGACTCCCCCTCGCCCATCAGGAATAGGCTCTCGTCGCATGCACTCGCACGGAATCCAATCCCTTCCAGTGCACTGGCCAGCCTGTTGTACCAGCATCTCGGGGCCTGCTTCAAGCCATAGATGGCCTTGTTAAGTTTGCAGACACGACCGGTTCCATCCTCATAGCCAGGTGGTTGAACCATGTACACCTCCTCTTCCACAATGCCGTACAGAAAAGCGGTTACGATGTCCATCTGCTTCACCTTCCATTTGCGCACAGCAGCTACCGCCAGCAGCACACGTAGCGTTGGAGACTTAGCAGTTGGGGCAAACACTTCTTTGTAATCTTCCTTCTCTTTCTGCTGAAACCCCTTTGCCACCAGCCTGCTCTTGTAAACCGATGGCTCTCCTTTCTCATCCGTCTTGATTTTTGCCAGCCACTTGCACTGTATTGACTTCTTCCCATTTGGCAAGTACACCAGGTCCCATGTGTGATTCTCCATCTCGCTGTTGTACTCTGCATCTCTTGAAACGAGCCACTTCCCCCGTTGAGGCCCGGCTAGCGCATCATCCATGCTCGGAGGTTGTATTGGTGCGTAAAAGCAGTATGCAGGCTCCTCGTCATCTGACTCTTGGTCATCACCCAAGAACAGCACTGCATCTTCGCCTTGAGCCTGTTCCTGCTGCTCAGTTGTGGCTCCTCCACTTGTAGAGCTCAGCAGCTTTCTTGTTGCCATTCTGGTACGTGCAGGGTAGATGGTTGGATTTACCCATTCTTTCACCTTCACCCAATCCTTTGTCCCCCCACCAATCTGTTTCCTTCGCTTTGGCAGACTTGGTGTTTTGGAAGCCTCTTGCTGCTGCTGCTCCGGATCCTTGACTTCAGCATCAGCTGCAATATCCTCATTGCTTCCTTCATCAGTACCGCTTGCCGTTGGCGCAGTGACTTCGCTGTCCTCAGGTTCGGACAAATCGAAGTGCATAGTGATCTCTTCCAGCTGCTGGGTGACCCTTGCCTCCTGCTGCTTCTCCCACTTGCCATACATGATGTTCTCCACAAATTTGACATCCCGACTGTCAAACATCACATTCTTCGAGGGCTCCCAGAGTAGCCACCCCTTGCTCTCTGCCGCAAGTCCAAGGTGCACACACCACAGTGCAGATGCTCCAAGCTTTGTCCTGTACGGTTTAGGGACATGCGCCACTGCCATGCATCCGAACACTCTAAGCATGTCCACTAGAGGCTTCTTTCCAAGCCACCTCTCCAGCGGCACCCACATATCATCAGCCACCTTTGTGAGTACGCGGTTCCTTGCCACTGTAGCATGCCTCACCGCATGAGGCCACATGGAGTTCCCCAGCCCTGATTCGATCAGCAGCGCTCGCGCAGATTCCAGGATGGTCCTATTAGCCCTCTCAGCAACGCCATTTGACTGAGGGGTATAGGACGTCGTTAGCTGATGCTCAATGCCTTGTTTCTTGAGCCACGCAGTCAGATCTCCTCCTAGAAACTCTCCACCTCGGTCGGTTCTGATGCTCTTGCACGGGTGCCCAGATTGTCGCTCGACGAACGGCAGCCAGTCATCTCGTATTGTTGAGGCAGCATGATCCTTCTGCTTCAACGGGTATGCCCACATCAACCGACTCCAGTCATCAATTATTCTCAGGAAGTACCTTTCCCCCTTACTTCCTCGAACTGGAAAAGGTCCTACCAGGTCCATGTGCACCAGTTCCAGTGCTGCCTTGCTTTTCCCAGCTACACCATGAAAGGGGAACCGTGTGAACTTGCTCAGCAGACACGTCTCGCACTTGGTATCATTTTGTTGCCCAGAAAGCTTCAGACCCTTTACTGCTTCTTCCTTATGCAATTGCTGCAGCAATGGCATAGCCACATGCCCTAGACGCGTGTGTGCGGTTTCCCAATCAGTCTCCCCCAACCTTGCAGAAACCGTCACTCCTGCAGCACTAACTGCATTGCACTCCCCCTGGACTCCAGATCCCGCCTTTACTGCTCCCAACTCCTTCTTTGTTGATTCCCATATCAGTGCAGGGATCTGCCACATGGATCTGAAGACATCTCTGCTTTCGTCTAAATCCCATAACACACGATCTCCTCGCAGCCCCTTGAATGTTTTGGATCCATTGGTGGTGGTGCTGACTCCGGCCTGGCCTAGCTTGCGCAGCGATATCAGATTGGCCTTCAGCCCCGGTACGAGTAACACGTCCTTCAGCACAACCAGTCCACCATCAGGTGCTCTGAATGCAGCTCGACCAACTCCAGCGACCTTCACTGCATGTCCGGATGCTGAGCGCACTTCGGAGATTGGAGGCGCTCGCACAACATCCAGCAAGTCCTTGCATGGTGTCATTGTCCATGCAGCACCAGAGTCCATGACCCACATGTCAAGCGGGTGCAGTTCCTCTCCAGCCCTTGCAACAGCTGTGCCACTGTCATCTTTGTCACACACATGGTAGAACTGCCCAGCATTCCTCTCCTCATTTCCCATTCCTCGGTCATCCTTGGAGGTTTCTTCAACAGGATCAGCTACCATGTTGGCACCTCCATGTGATTGCTTTCCTCCATTCCCCTTTTGCGATTGGTTCCAAGGGGTCCACCAGTCGGGCTTGGTAGAGCAGCGAAACCATGGATGCCCTTCTTCCTTGCAATACCAGCACTCTCCCGTCAAGCGTGGTTCACTGTTGTCATTGTTAGAGTGACCACCTCTTCCTCTTGCACCAGCGCCACCACGCCCCCGCTGGTTCCAAGTCCCGCGACCACCTTGGCTGTAGTGAGAGCGACCGCGATTGCCACGCCCTCGATCCCTCCATGTCCCTTGCATGGCATAGCCGCTGGTGCTGTCATCACCTCCGCGCAGTGTATAGCGACGAAAATCTTCTTCCAGAATCTTGGTGCGAATCCACTCCAATGTCCATTGACTTTGGTTTTGTGGCAAGCTGAGTCCGCTTATAAATTGCAGCCAAGACTCGGGCAGCAGGCTGAGCATCTTGAGACACTTAGTCTGCTCAGGGTACGTGATGCCTGCAATCGCCAATTTCGCGTAGAGTTCCCTCATCTTGTCCAGTACGGGCTGCACAGGTTCATTCTCGCTCAACCGCAGCATGGACAGCTCCCGATCCAGCATGAGAGAAGCGGCAACCGATGTCGGAGCGTGCAGGTCCTTGAGCACTGCCCATGCCTTGGGCCCACAATCAATTTCCGGTAGCAGATGCATGATGTGATGCCTCTGGTTCAGCTCCAAGCTTTGTGACAGTAGATAATACCCAGCAGATGAACGTTCATCCCAGTCCGCTTGCTCTGCCATTTCCTTTGGCCTGGGCTCCGTTCCAATCATGAGCTTCAAGAGGCCAATTTGTCGAAAGTAGAGCTGCATCTTCCATGCCCAATTGTCATAGCCATCTCCAGAGAACTTCTCAATGGTGAAGTTCTTCAGCACCTTCTTAAGCAGTGACCCCTGGCTTGTATGCGCTCCCCTTTGCGCTGCAATGGGCTGCCTCCTTTGAGCTGCCTCCTTGGACTGAAGTATCATCTCCACCAGAGTCCTCCTTATCTCCCATCTTATTTTAGGTCCCAAATGCGTGATAATGGGCTCTGATACCACTTGTTGGTTAGAGAAGGCTATAAGCAGATGATTCAATGGCTCCTTGGAAATTTCTGCAGCACTTCGTTATGACGCCCAGAAAACTCGCGACCTTCGAAAAGCTATATCCAAAACTCCAATCAGTGAAACGATCTGAAAATCAGCTTGCAGCGTCAGCTTTCCTCTGAAAGTTGAATCACTCGATTCCGTAGCTTAACGAGCGAGCTATGGCGTTTGGCGCACTGGGGGGTAATCTGCCCTAGGTGAATTTGACAATCCTCAGAGTCACTATGATTGAAGCTTACAAGTTCAGAGGGATGATTGAAAAGGCATTGAAGCACAGTTGGAAGGTAGGGATGGAAGGGAAGGATGAAAAGGAAGGACCCTGGAGGCCCATGGTCAAGAACATGACAAGAGTCAAAGTCTTGACTCCCCATCCTCAGGTTCAGCCAGCCTGGCAAGACAAAATTTACACCGTACCAGGTTGGCCTCCAAACCCCAAATGCTGCAGCTGCAGGGTGGGGACAAAAGTCCCACACATGCTGGTCCCTCCTCGTTATAGGGCTCTCCAACTTTGGTGTAGCAGTTGACAAGGACTTCCAATGAGTTGTAACATATCCATCAAACATTTCTTCGTAACTTCTTCATATGTGCTCCGATTCCAACAATTCTTGGCTCGTTGGAATGTGCTCGATGTCATGCACAATCCAAGCACATCTGTACAAGCACAAGGTGAACATGCAAAGACATGCAAACCCAACAAACCATACAAACAATGTAGCACACAAAACACATGCAACGAAATGATGCGAACAGACGACAGGATGACGTGCAAACGAACATGCACCAACAGTTGAGGTCACCAAGATCCTTCATGAGAAGGGCGGAGCTGAGAGCAGACTTGACAGCTGCCATGTCGGCTGGATCTCTGGCGGCTAGAATGAAGTCGTCGACGTAGACGAGGATGTAGAACGGCTCGGAGGAGTGACAAACGAAGAGACTGGAATCTGAGGCAGAGGGATGGAAGTCAAGTGCGAGGAGGACTTCCTTCGCCTTGTTGTGCCACTCACGAGGAGCCTGCTTGAGGCCATACACTGGGCGCTTCAGCTTCCACACTGTGTTGGCAGGGTAAGTGCCAGAAAACCCCGGTGGGCTTTCCATGTGAACATCCTCCTTGAGCTGGCCTTGGAGAAAGGCGGAGGAGGCGTCCATGGACTTGATCTCGAAGTTGCCGCGAGCGGCTATATCTAGAAGAGCGCGCACAGTCAGGAGCTTGGCCGTGGGCGAGAAGGTTTCGAAGAAGTCGAGATACTCCTTCTGGGTGAAACCCTTCGCCACGTATCGTGCCTTGAACAGTGGAGCTTCGCCTGGGACTTGTTTGACTCGGAAGATCCATTTTCCGCCGACGATGTTGACACCGGAAGGGGGAACAACATCGTCAAAGCTGTTGTTGCGAATGAACGCCTCGTTCTCCACATCCATTGCTGCCTTCCACTCCTTCTTATAAGGCCCCGAGAGAGCTTCCTCTTTTGTGCGAGGAGTCGGAATGGTCGGGTTCTCGGTGAAGTTGAGGGAAGGGCAGTCAGTAATGTCCGGGAAGATGTGAGAGAGAAATTGGCAGACCGCGTGAAGGTCAAACAGCTCCTCATGCCTGTCCTCCAGAAGTGCACAAAGGGGAATACGGATGGAGGGGACATCACCCTCGGCAGGAGGAGGCGGGGTGACCGAACACCGGATGGAGAAGGCGGCTGGTCCCCAGACGAGAGGCGGAGCCGGTCCCTTGGAACGAGTGCGACTAGAGACCGGAGACGAAGGCGGCTGCGGTGGCACCAGAGGGACTGGGCGCCTCCGATAGGAGACTGGTGAGCCGGGCTCGACGCGCGGGGAAGGCGGAGCAGGAGGAGGTGCCGCTGCGGAGGATACTTGGGAGGCCGGGTGAGACACGCCGGACGGAGAAGGCCCCGGAGAAGGGGCAGCGGCCGGAGGTGGGGCATCGAAGTCTGCCCAAACAAGCGTCGGGGGAGGTGGAGGAGGCTCGCCCGTGGTCGCAGACTGGAATGGGCGTGTCTCATCGAAGACGACATCACGGCTGCGAATCAGCTGTCTGGTGATTGGGATGAGGAATAAGTAGTCTGGGGAATCGGAGTTGTGCCCCAGGTACATGCAGGTCTGGGTTTTGGGACCAAGCTTGCCACCTTGCTTCCTGCGCGAGTGGGGGCTTAGCAACACATACGCGGTACACCCCCAGACGCGTAGAGAGCGGACGGAAGGCGTGACCCCATGCCAGAGAGCGGTAGGTGTGGTGTCGGGCCGGTGGGGATGCGGATAAAGATTGTAGAGGAGTGCCGCATGGAAGAGGGCATATCCCCAGAGTGACCGTGGTGCGTTGGCGTGACTGAGGAGGCAGCGAGCGATCTGAACCAAGGTGTGGTTGCGGCTCTCTGCAATGCCGTTCTGCTGCGGGCTTTCGGGGAGCGTGAAGGTTTGCCGAATCCCTTGGGCCGCACAGAAGTTATCGAGTTTGCCATTGCGAAATTCTCCCCCGCCATCAGAATGGAGGCACTTCAGAGGAGTGCCGAACGTGACTTGAGCCTGGCGCACCCACGCCATGATGACATCAGGTACCTCCGCCTTGGTATGCAGGAGGTGCACAGATTCATACCGCGAGTGGTCATCGACTAGTGTAAGAAAGTACCGATGACCACCTCGGGATGCGACTGGAGCTGGGCCCCAGACATCCATGTGCACTAGGTCCAGCGGAGCAGCTGCGACGGATGGGGAGGAAGGGTGCGGCTGCTGCCTGAGCTTGCTCTTGGTGCAGTCCAGGCAGGTGGGTGCAGGTGAGTCTGTTGGTGGAGGAAGCGCCGACGGGAGGCCAAGAAGAAGTTTCTTGGAAGCGATGTCGGCAAGTGTACGGAAGTTGGGGTGACCCAAGCGATGGTGGTAGAGGATGGTTGGGTTGGCGAAGCTGCGATACGAACATGGAGTGGTGCTGGCAGCTTGCGCTTGGGAGAGGGCGGCGAGAGGTGCAGGTGAACGCAGTGTGTAGAGCTTGCTATTGTTCAGTGTGAAGCGTGCTAGGAGCTTGTTGGACTTAGGGTCGAAGAGGTCACAGTGATCCGAGTGTGCTGGGAAGATCGTGGTGACGCCTGCCCGTTGGAGCTCGTGTTGGGCCACGAGATTGTGGCGTAGAGTAGGGACACACATGCCAGTCACACTGCCCGAAGGAAAAGCTGGGCACGGAACTGTGGGGGAGCCCTTGGCGTGTGTTGTGAAACTGGAGTCTGCTCCAAGTAGACGGATTGGTGTCTCGTATGGCTTGAAGGAGTGTTCTTCCTTGAGAACCGTGTGAGTGGCCCCACTGTCGAGGGTGAACTCTATTGTGGCTGAGGTGCTTTGTGAGCCAGGATACTGCCAAATCGTCTCATTAATCATGGCAGTGCCAGGGAACAACATGTTGAGACGCACATCAGCAGGTGCAGCCACAGCAACCTGCACGGATTCCTGCGCTTCGACTTGATTGACCTGGCGAGGAGCACGATTGACCATCCAGCTTGGCGGCTTGGAGGCGGTCCCATTGACGGCATACCACTCGTCATCCTTCTTCTTAAAGCAGGAGGCAAGGGCGTGGTTGGTGCCGCCACACACCTGGCCAGCACGAGGGCCGCGCTTGATGATGTAGGGACACGGGGGGAAGCGGTTGCGCTGGAATGGCACCGAAGCGGCATAGGCTTGAGGCACGGGAGCGCGGATTGCATTGGCCTTGGCTTGAGCGCTGTTGTCCTTTTCGGCAGAAAGGAGCGCGGATGAGACCTTGGCAAATGTGAGGTCTGCAGGAGCAAGGCCCAAGAGCATCTTGCGTGTGACTTCGTATGCCGGAGTGAGGCCGACTAGGAGAGCGGCTGCAGGGGCTTGCTCGGGGAAGACTATCCTCAACTGTTTGAGTTCACCATAAATGGACTGCACCTTGGTGACATAGTCCGCCATGCCTGGCGAGTCCTCGAGTCGCACTTGGAACATGCTGTCAACTCCCACTGCAGTCTTGTTCAGGAAGCGATCCTCCAGGTAGAGCCAAATGGCGTTGGCAGACAGGTAGTTGTGGTAGGTTTCGACGAGTTCGGGAGGAGTGGTGCCCATGAAGACACTAATGACCGCACCATCGGCCTTCTCCCAATTCTTGTACTTGAGCAGTGCAGCAGCATAAACTGTTTCGGCGGCGGCATGAGCTGGATCGGCGGACCTCTCGGGTTTAGGAGGCTCTTTGCCGTCACCGATGTTGAGAAGGACGTCGGTGAGCTCGAGCCCCTTCACCTCCCGACTGAGGAGGTGCTTGTCGACACCATAGCGCCAAGCCTTGTAGTTGGACCATGTACCGTCCGGCTCGAGACGAAGGAGCGGGATCGGGTTGGCGAGTGAAGTGGTTGAGTAAGCCATTGTCGGTGTGCAGCGCGGCACTTCTGGAAATTGGTCGACGAGAATTGCTGAAAATCACTCTGACGGCTGTATCAAAATGCTGCTAAGTAGGAAATGGCGTTGGCGAAAATTCGTTAAAATGCCGACCGTCAAAATTCGTTAAAACGCCGACTTGAAACTGAATCTGAGCCTATGTCTAACCCCGGACCCACACACCCCCCCACACACCCCCAGGCCCTGTCCCGCAGCTACACAGCTCCGCAACCAGCTCCGCAACCAGCTCCGCAACCAGCTCCGCAACGAGCTCCGCAACCAGCTCCGCAACCAGCTCCGCTCCCCTTCAACCTGTGTACCTGCTGTTGCTTAGAGAAGGCTATAAGAAGATGATTCAATGGCTCCTTGGAAATTTCTGCAGCACTTCGTTATGACGCCCAGAAAAATCGCGACCTTCGAAAAGCTTTATCCAAAAAACCAATTGATGAAACGATCTGAAAATCGGATATGTTGTAGCTTGCAGCGTCAGCTTTGCTCTGAATGTTGAATCACTCGATTCCGTAGCTGAATGAGTGAGCTATGGTGTTTGGCGCACTGGGGGGTAATCTGCCCTAGGAGAAGTTGACAATCCTCAGAGTCACTATGATTGAAGCTTACAAGTTCAGAGGCATGATAGAAAAGGGCATTGAAGCACAGTTGGAAGGTAGGGATGGAAGGGAAGGATGAAAGGGAAGGACCCTGGAGGCCCATGATCAAGAACATGACAAGAGTCAAAGTCTTGACTCCCCATCCTCAGGTTCAGCCAGCCTGGCAAGACAAAATTCACACTGTACCAGGTTGGCCTCCAAACCCCAAATGCTGCAGCTGCAGGGTGGGGACAAAAGTCCCACACATGCTGGTCCCTCCTCGTTATAGGGCTCTCCAACTTTGGTGTAGCAGCTGACAAGGACTTCCAATGAGTTGTAACAAATCCATCAAACATTTCTTCGTAACGTCTTCATATGTGCTCCGATTCCAACAATTCTTGGCTCGTTGGAATGTGCTCCATGTCATGCACAATCCAAGCACATCTGCACAAGCACAAGATGAACATGCAAAGACATGCAAATCCAACAAACCATACAAACAATGTAGCACACAAAACATATGCAACGAAATGATGCGAACAGATGACAGGATGACGTGCAAACGAATATGCACCAACACCTGCTCTTGCTTGACGCGTGACGTTCGTGGAGGCAATTTTGCGATGAGAAGCGTGAAAGCTTCAGAGATGAGAAATTCAACGAGGTCGAGCATGAAGGCGGTCGACGATGAGAGGCGCGACTGTAGAGTGGAGCATGTCGAATTTCCGACGACTCGAGACGAAAATCGCGACGATGAAGTGCGGTAGCGCGGGTACGTTAAGATTAGGACCTTGATCCGCGTGTGCGGATAGGTTGCTCTGATACCATGTAAGAAATAGAGTTGAAATAATTGATTAGGCAAGGAGCCCAAGGCTCTATAGGTACATGGCAAGGTGAGAGTGAATGGATGAAGGGGGAATTGGAGGGAATCCCCATTGGGATCTCCTGAATCTCCAATTGGGTAATTGGAGATTGGGGGGATCAGAATTGGGTGAGGTTGGGATTTGTGAGTACACCCCAACCCACCAGAACATTCATAACCTAAACTAGGATATAAAAGTACAAATACAAAAGTGGTATTTGCAGTCTTTTTATAACACCGAGATGCTGGTACAACAGGCTGGCCAGTGCACTGGAAGGGATTGGAGTCCGTGCGAGTGCATGCGACGAGAGCCTATTCCTGATGGGCGAGGGGGAGTCGCTTGTGCTTCTGCTGGTGTACGTGGATGACATCCTGCTCTTTAGCAGCAGTGACAAGGAGATCGATGAGGTGCAGCAGAAGCTCACAGAGCAGTTCAAGTGCAAGTCACTTGGACCTGGGAATGCACATTGAGCGGGATACTGAACGTGGCTGGCTCAAACTGCATCAGGGACAGTACATCAACACCTTGGCTGAGAAGTACTCTCTGCAGGAAGAACGGGAAGTGGTCACACCTTTGCCTTCCGAGTTCAAACTCACGGGCAGCTGAAGGAGAAGGAGTTGAGAGTGAAGACCAGAGGCAATTCCAATCCATGGTCGGGAGCCTACTCTACGCTGCTGTGCATACTCGGCCTGACATCAGCTTTGCTGTGGGACAGCTGGCTCGAGTAGTGCAAAATCCAACAGAAGAGCAGTATGGTGCAGCGGAGACAGTGGTGCGCTACCTCAAGTCATACCCTATAGAGCAGTATTGTTACAACTCATTGGAAGTCCTTCGCAGCTGTTACACCAAAGTTGGAGAGCCCTATAACGAGGAGGGACCAGCATGTGTTAGACTTTTGTCCTCACCTTGCAGCTGCAGCATTTGGGGTTTGGAGGCCAACCTGGCACAGTATGAATTTTGTCTTGCCAGGCTGGCTGAACCTGAGGATGTGGAGTCAAGACTTTGACTCTTGTCATGTTCTTGACCAAGGGCCTCCAGGGTCCTTCCCTTTCATCCTTCCCTTCCTACCCCACCTTCCAACTATGCTTCAATGCCTTTTCCATCATGCCTCTGAACTTGAAAGCTTCAATCATAGTGACTCTGAGGACTGTCAATTTCTCCTAGGGCAGATTACCCCCCAGTGCGCCAAACGCCATAGCTCACTCGATAAGCTACGGAATCGCGTGATTCAACTTTCAGTAGAAGGCTGACGCTGCAAGCTACAACATATCCGATTTTCAGATCGTTTCACTGCTTGGAGTTTTGGATATAGCTTTTCGAAGGTCGCAAGTTTTCTGGGCGTCATAACGAAGTGCTGCAGAAATTTCCAAGGAGCCATTGAATCATCTGCTTATAGCCTTCTCTAACCAACATAGCCGCTAGTGCTGTCATCACCTCCGCGCAGTGTATAGTGACGAAAATCTTCTTCCAGAATCTTGGTACGAATCCACTCCAATGTCCATTGACTTTGGTTTTGTGGCAAGCTGAGTCCACTTATAAATTGCAGCCAAGACTCGGGCAGCAGGCTGAGCATCTTGAGACACTCAGTCTGCTCAGGGTACGAGATACCAGCAATCGCCAATTTCGCGTAGAGTTCTGTCATCTTGTCCAGAACGGGCTGCACAGGTTCATTCTCGCTCAACCGCAGCATGGACAGCTCCTGATCCAGCATGAGAGTAGCGGCAACCGATGTCGGAGCGTGCAGGTCCTTGAGCACTGCCCATGCCTTGGGCCCACAATCAGTTTCCGGTAGCAGATGCATGATGTGATGCCTCTGGTTCAGCTCTACGCTTTGTGACAGTAGATAATACCCAGCAGATGAACGTTCATCCCAGTCCGCTTGCTCTGCCATTTCCTTTGGCCTCCAGTATCTTTGCATGTTCATCTTGTGCTTTTGCAGATGTGCTTGGATTCTGCATGACATTGAGCACATTCCAACGAGCCAAGAAATGTTGGAATCGGAGCATATATGAAGAAGTTAGGAAGAAATGTTTGATGGATTTGTTACAACTCATTGGAAGTCCTTGGCAGCTGCTACACCAAAGTTGGAGAGCCCTATAACGAGGAGGGACCAGCATGTGTGGGACTTTTGTCCTCATCTTGCAGCTGCAGCATTTGGGGTTTGGAGGCCAACCTGGCACAGTGTGAATTTTGTCTTGCCAGGCTGGCTAAACCTGAGGATGGGGAGTCAAGACTTTAACTCTTGTCATGTTCTTGACCAAGGGCCTCCAGGGTCCTTCCCTTTCATCCTTCCCTTCCTACTCCACCTTCCAACTATGCTTTAATGCCTTTTCCATCATGTCTCTGAACTTGTAAGCTTCAATTATTGGACTCTGAGGACTGTCAATTTCTCCTAGGGCAGATTACCCCCCAGTGCGCCAAACGCCATAGCTTACTCAATAAGCTATGGAATCGAGTGATTCAACTTTCAGTGGAAAGCTGGCGCTGCAAGCTACAACATATCCGATTTTCAGATCGTTTCATCAATTGGTTTTTTGGATAAAGCTTTTCGAAGGTCGCGAGTTTTCTGGGCGGCATAACGAAGTGCTGCAGAAATTTCCAAGGAGCCATTGAATCATCTGCTTATAGCCTTCTCCAACCAACAACCGCACCATTGGCCCTCTCCCAATTCTTGTACTTGAGCAGTGCAGCAGGATAAACTACGTCGGCGGCGGCATTAGCTGGATCCGTGGACCTCTCGGGTTTAGGAGGCTCTTTGCCGTCACCGATGTTGAGAAGGACGTCGGTGAGCTTGAGCCCCATCACCTCGCGACTGAGGAGGTACTTGTCGACACCATAGTGCCAAGCCTTGTAGTTGGAGCATGTACCGTCCGGCTCGAGACGAAGGAGTGGGGTCGGGTTGGCGAGTAAAGTGGTTGAGTATATTGCCGCTTGATTTTCGCGAAGCGACGCTCTTAAGTCACCGATAGGAATTTCGGTCTGCAGCGCGGCACTTCTGGAAATCGGTCGACGAGAATTGCTGAAAATCACTCTGACGGCTTCATCGAAATGCCGATAAGAAGGAAATGCCGTCGGCGAACTTTCGTTAAAACACCGACTTGAAACTGAATCTGAGACTATATCTAACCCTGGACCCACACACCCCCCAACACACCCCCAGGCCCTGTCCCGCAGCTACACAGCTCCGCAACCAGCTCCGCAACCAGCTCCGCAACCAGCTCCGCTCCGCTTCCACCTGTGTACGTGCTCTTGTCTGACGCGAGATGTTTGTGGAGACGATTTCGCGAGGGGAGTTTGCCTATTCTGGCGGGGACTGATGGGAAAATTGAGAACGAGTTTTAAGAGATGGTCGAAATTGAGAATCGACCAAGGAGAACTGAGCAGGAAATCGACGATGAGAAGCGTCAAAACTTCAGAGATGAGAATTTCAACGAGGTCGAGCGCGAAGGCGGTCGACGATGAGAGGCGCGACTGTAGAAAGGAGCACGTCGAAATTCCGACAACTCGAAACGAATGTCACGACGATGAAGTGCGCTAAGCGCGGGCACATTAAGATTAGGACCTTGATCCGCGTGTGCAGATAGGTCGCTCTGATACCATGTAAGAAATAGAGTTGAAATTATTAATTAGGTATGGAGCCCAAGCTCTATAAGTACATGGCAAGGTGAGAGAGAATGGATGAAGGGGGGAATCGGAGGGAATCCCCATTGGGATTTCCGGAATCTCCAATTGGGTAATTGGAGATTGGGGGGATCACAATTGGGTGAGGTTGGGATTTGTGAGTACACCCCAACCCACCAGAACATTCATAACCTAAACTAGGATATAACAGTACAAATACAAAAGAGGGAGTTGTAGTCTATTTCTAACAGTTGTTGCCGATGTCCTTCACAAACAATACTTAAAGTGGCGAGAACCATCGTGGGTACATGGCTTACACCGGCCACTGGCTCACGACAGAATTGGTACACAAGCAGGTAACGCTTAAGTGTGCGGGTTCATGTCTCCTTGGTCGCGACATATAGTGCCCATGTTATAGCTGCTTGTCCTGAGAACATGGTTATGGAGTATGGGTTGGTCAGACAATGTGCTAGAGAATGTTGCATCGATGTTGTGGTTGTCGAGGGAGGACCTAGGTGACAAGTCTTCTCACCTGTCCAAAAAAGGCCTGCACATTAAGTAAACCACTGCCTTCCTCTGTGTGCCCTCTTCTGTGCGTCCTTGCGTCCAATGTTGTTGTATCTCATCACCACGTTCATCATCCCGCATCCACTATGCATACTCGATCTCGCTACCACCAACTTTCCTCACCAATCACTGTCCCTCCTTCCCAGGTGCCTCATACACATATGCAACCTTGCAGTGCAGCAAGTGTTGCGGACGGTTGCGGGGTTGAACGATCCGCTTGGCCTCTTGCGCGATTGAGGGACCTTCTGTTAGAAATAGATTGCAAATCCCACTCATCTATTTGTACTTTTATATCCTACTTTAGGTTAGGAATGTTCTAGTGGGTTGGGGTGTACTCACAAAATCCCAACCTCACCCAATTG